TTTTTTTTTTTTTTTTCTCGAAAGTAAGTATTCAATAAATAAATCCATGTCATTAAAACCAAGGGTTGCTAAAGTTATTGACAATGAGAATGTAATAGCTCTTCCACTCACGCTCCTTGTGAAATTATTTTCTTTTCCTTTCATGTGACCTGTTTCGTGCGTCAAATTCTTTTACTAGACCAAATTAATTGCAGATTGTTCCGGGTTACTACTTGAGGAGGAATCTTCATGGCATTATCGAGCATAGTACATGTACAAACAACACTGCCAGTGAGCATTCAATGGTTGAACGGTTGATAATCGATGATCTCTTGCACTGGGCTGTCAATTATAAGGTTCACCATTTTGACTTGTGAACATTCATTTCTCTTTCACAACGGTAAAGATAATTAGGATTTAAGACAATTTTTAACTCCGACTAGTTGCCAGTGCTTCCTGCTGGTTCAATAGTTTATTGTACTAGTCCACACCATTTAATACATTGTTTGAACATTTTTTTTCTTCTTGAAAAATGTATCTGCTCACTAGCTTTACTTGTTACACCTTAGGACTATTAAGTTGTGAACGGGGAACCTTATTGCCAAGAAAATCTATTAAAATTAGAACTGTTCATCTCATGATGAATTTGCCCATACCTGTCCGTTAGGTTGTCCTTTAAGTATTGCCTAAAATAAAAATCATTGTGGAGAAAATTTTCACCAAGTGGTGTCCTTAAGGGATAGATAGCTTGCCATGGAACATGGATATCTATATGTTAGGTTAACTTATCCAAAAATATACAAAGGATAATGCACCATTCATACATCGTCAGACATTACGTTATCTGGTTTTACTCGTCTTAATCTGAACTGACCTACCATTTTCTTTATCTAAATAGACACGAGAAATAATAGTGTTGTTGACTTAATTTGAGTCCCATGTATCAATGTTTACCACGGAAATTCATCAGTGATATTGCAAATGAAAGAAGATCAGATGAATACCATGTTGTTAATTTTGGAGTGTTTAACCTTGTGTTCTTTAATAGTAACCGAATGATTTCGATTATTTTGGAATGAAATTTATTTTGATTGAAAGACAACACAATGAATAAATGCACAGTGCTTACATTATGTTAAGCTGTCTTTATGACAAAGTATTACTAAGGATGAATTATTATCTAAATATGCACCACATGGACTAGTTTCAAATTACCCCTAAAATATTTTATTTTGGTGTGACTTTTAAAGTTAAAACCGATTATATGCTAACCAGTAACCAGAGTATTGCAGGTTGATGGCTTTCGCTTTGACCTCATGGGTCACATAATGAAGCGTACAATGGTATGAATTGTATGAATTGAATTTGTTTATGTGCTTTGCGTGTCTTCACATAATGAAGCGTACAATGGTACTGATGATGTATAGAGATGATTTGAAGTTATTAATTAATCATAAAGCTAGGAATAAAAGAAAGGGAAGAGAAACATTTTGTTTTTTTCTACTTTACTTTTCCTTTTATTTCCTTCATTTTCTTTTTTTGGTTTGTTTGAGAAATTTGAGTATGACAAGAACTTTTGTTCTCTGTCATACTGCAGTTAAAGGCTAAAAGTTTGCTCGAGAGGTTGACAAAACAGAATGATGGAGTAGATGGCTCTAGCCTCTATATGTAAGTCTCTGCGTTGGATGATTTTTTTTTACCTTGTAACAATAGACAAATTCATGGCTTTTCGTTTCTGAATGATTTATTAACCAATTTTGGAAAATCTTTTATTTTCAGATATGGCGAAGGATGGGATTTTGGAGAGGTGGCTAACAATGGGCGTGGTGTTAATGCCTCTCAGTTCAACCTTTGTGGGAGTGGAATTGGAAGGTACTTCTTTTTTGTTCAAATACTTCACTTGGGTTGCAATTTAATGGAAAAGAAATCCATAGTCTGTAATCTAGTGAATTACTAACACTTTCATCCAAATTATGTTTATTTTCCCTTTTCGCATAACATCTTGTGCCAATATTCGAACATGAGCAGTTTTCAATTATTGTAAATACTATGAGATTTGATTTAGTTTCAACGACCGAATTCGAGATGCAATACTTGGGGGGTCACCGTTCGGACATCCACTTCAACAAGGCTTCGTAACAGGTTTATCATTGGAGGTATATATCCTTATCTTTCCTATTAGTTTCCTTTATATTTTTGTAACACCTATGTATTACTGCTTTACTTGATGATTTTACTGTTTGTATTTTTTTTTTTTTTAGCCCAATGATCATGACCATGGAAGCCCTTCTGCCACAGAGCATATGCTTGCTTTATCGAAAGATCACATTCAGGTACTTCAATAGTCAGCCCCAGCTGAAAGTACAATAAACATTTCTTTATTTTTCATAGCTAAATTCATGGTAAAATATATCTGTTTCAATACTCGTCCTGACAAATGAATTTGTTTCTTTTTCCTCATATTCTTTCCTGAACCACATACTTCACTAACTGGCGCTCTGTTTCCCTTTGCTCCAATTATTTTGAAAGGCAGATTGGAATGGCTGCCAACCTGAAGGACTTTGTTTTAATTAACTTTGAGGGCAATGAGGTAATATTAAATGCTAATGTCATAAAAGATGTCATTCTATTCTTAATCATCTATTTTATTTAGTAAAGAAAATTACAACTACTTCCCAGCCCTTATTTTACGTGAATTCAAATGACTTCACTTTAGCAATTTTGTTTAAAGGCTATCCGGCAGTGTGTTAGATTTCTAGTATTTTATAGAAACAATGGTTACTCCCATTCCTACAAATGAAATATTGTTTACGTCAAACAACCAGTTGCAAAAAAATTCCAGTTTAATAGACCTCAAGGCTCAACTTTAATAGAAAACTCATGGCCAAGTATCACAGATAGTATAGGATTACTTCTTTTCTCCATATATTGTTAATTAGTTTTCGTTCAAGAATGATTTGAATGTTAATATAGTAATACTTTGAAAAATCTAAATGAAGTTCTCAAGAAATAGTTATATGAAATGTAAATTTATAATCATACATGCAGCTTTTAATTTAGATGTCATTTTGTTTGTTCATAGAGTTAGAAGTTTTAGCCCATATATTCGCATGCTCATTTTGCAAATAAAAGAAGATTTATGTTTGACCACATTACATTTTCAAGCTAGTGGGATTTCTTCAACATTTTAGAACATTTCTGTATTAGATACCTGTTTATTATTATTTGCCTTCAAACAGGTTAAAGGATGTGAAGTTTCAGTGCATGATGGTAAACCTGTGGCATATGCTTTAAGCCCTGTGGAAACAGTAAGGACATTTCATTCTATTTTTTAATATTAGTATGTTCACAAATCTTTTCTTATGTTTTATTATTTAATCTTACGTGATCAGGTGAATTATGTTTCCGCTCATGATAACGAGACATTGTTTGACACTGTGAGTTTAAAGGTAAAAATCTTATCTTCTATCTATTACCGTTGTTCGTATGTTGAAAACATAAATTTATCTACTGTTAAATGCGTACAGACTCCGGTAAATATCTCTGTGGATGAAAGATGTAGGATTAACCATTTAGCTACCAGCATAATAGCCCTTTCCCAGGTTTGACGTTATATTCTATGTTGAAATTACTGATTGCATATTTATTCTAGCTGGTAAGCCCTTCTATTTCATCAAGAAAATATTAATTTACCTAGCATAACTTGCTAAGGAAATTCAGACCTATGCTTCTTGTATATCTTTCTAGTGTCTTAAAGCATTCAAATTTTTCCAATTGTACGAACTCTGGAGTTCCTCAACAAAATCTTTTAGATACAATACATGTTTATAGGTTTTAAATTAAAGTAGCCGGTTTAAATCATACATAGTTAAAAGAATCTGTAATCAAACTTCACTATGATAGTTTAATCATCGTGACATATAGGTGGACTTTTGTTATAAGATATGTTCACTCTGACATGTGACCTGACAATTTGTTTACTATTTTTTTTTTTTTTCTTGTTTAGGGAATACCTTTCTTTCATGCTGGTGATGAGATTCTGCGTTCTAAATCTTTAGATCGTGACTCGTACAATTCTGGTGATTGGTTCAACAGGTGTCTCAATTATGAGATTCAAAATTTAACTTCAATCGTTAACATTTCCGTTCCATCTATTTTTCTTAATGTCACATTATGATGAATTTTCTATTCCAATTCACGACTTCTCCAAAATGTCGCATGCTATAAATTTATAGAACTGTATGAATCTCTTATTCTCAATTTTGCTATTTTGTTTTCTTTTTTCCAGGTTAGACTTCAGTTACAGCTCTAATAACTGGGGAGTTGGACTTCCTCCAAGAGGAAAGAACGAAAGAAATTGGCCACTGTCAGCATCATTTCTCTTGAACTATTGCATTTTAACTATGCTGGCATTGGATTTACATGATGATCCCTGCAAACCTTTCTGTCTTTCTCTTCAGAATCAAAACAAGATTGGGAAATCCAGCATTTATGCCTCAAAGGAGTCGCATCCTAGAAGCCTTTGAAAATTTTTGTAGCTTTATTCGCATCAGATACTCGTCCCCCCTTTTCCGTTTGCGTACAGCAAATGCGATCCAGGTGAGTTTTGATGCATGTCCCAGTTAGAAACAATTAGTGAGAGAGAGAGAGAGAGAGAGAGAGAGAGAGAGAGAGAGAGAGAGTTTTTACTTAATGAGAACAATTTCTTGAGCAATCTCCTCTGATTGTGAGTTTGTAGGAAAGGGTTCGGTTTCATAACACTGGTTCGTCGTGGGTCCCTGGGGTTATTGTCATGAGCATCGAAGATGGTTATGAAGGCTATCCAGGACTTTCTCAGCTGGATCCCATGTTAGTCGCACAAATTTTTTATAAAAACTTCTTTACGTGCATACTGCTTTGTGAATGTAATATTTGTACAAGTCTTGTGCCTGCAGCTATTCTTACATTGTTGTTATAATCAACGCTTGCCCAACTGAAATCACGTTTACAAGCCCATCTCTGAAGGAGAAGCATCTACAATTGCACCCAATACAGGTTCTTTTTCGTTCTTCAGTTGCACTCATTATTTGTGTTATGTGAGCTTCGGAGGAAATAGTCTAGACATTTTGGTGAGGTGAGAGAGTTTCAACAGTTAGTTTTGAAGAACTTTTTAGAACATCACAATGGTTTATCTTTGTTACAATGTTCCTCTAAAAAGAACCTTTCGGTAAATGAAAAGCATCTGAACCCGTGCTCTGTTTTCCCTCTTTTCCTTTCCAAACCGCCATATAAATTAAAAAAAAAAAGAGAGAGAGAGAGAGAGAGAGAGAGAGAGAGAGAGAGAGAGAGAGATGATTGTGTTAGAAAATCAGTATGAAAAATATTTGGGTTTGACTCTATTTTGACCGACTTTTTTATGGCTAAATATTTAGCCATAAAAAGTCAGTTAAAATCCAGTCAAACCCATTTTTTTTTCATACTTATTGTAAAACAGATTGCATACGCTTAATTACATCCTTTATATTGCATTCTAGGTTCCTATTGGGAACAGTAGTTGAAACTGTTATGTTGGATTAATGATCATATTTGTTTATCTTCATCTCATAAACTTCTGATCTCTCTTATCTTATCAGATGACTTCGGCTGATGACATCGTCAAGAAGTCGACGTACAACTCATCCTCTGGTTCTTTCAGAATACCTTCAAGAACCACTTTTGTTTTTGTCCAACCTCGTATCACCTGAACAATTGACTGTGGTATAAGATGTATATTTTTCATGTAGTTCAAAAGGGCCTTATAAAATACTCAGTGTTAGAATTAAGCTTTTAATTAATAGTTATGGCGTGTATAATATAATAAATGAAACATGTGTTGAATCAAATTTTAAGATTCTTAGAATCTTTAATTTTGTTGGGGCTTCTTGGGTTTTGATTTATTTAGTTGGATTAAGTTTTTAAGGGGTGATTGGATATAAATTGTACAGTAAAAAAATCAATCAAAACTCAAATTTAACATAACCCCTAGGATCTTGTTCTTTCTTGGGCATATCATGTTGCATGACACTTGTCGTCTCGTACACAACTGCTTTCTCTCTATCTTCAAATCACCACTTGGTGACCAAGTCCTTGAAGAATTTGACATAGGACGACATGTCCTTAATCACATCAAGAAGTGGCAAATTCACATTGACCTTCAAGAGCATGGTTTAGAGGTCCTGAAATTGCTTCTCTTGCTTCTTGTCTCGAAGTCTGGAAAAAGAATGTGTAGTTTGTATGGGTTTAGGGACATGTGCAGCATTGAATTGTCGGTTTGCTTCCCCGAATTAGCCTGTGTGCTCCTCTTTATATTTTCCTCCACTTTCTTGGACTGTTCAGTCGGCTTATGTTTATCTAGTTTGGGTAATTTCACGCAGTTGTCCAATACTTTCCCGCTCTTCAACACCGTAATTGCCTTAGCTTGCTCGGGTTGACTAGACAACTTCCCTTTGTCTGATTCGACTTCCATATTCGCAACTCTAGTGGCTAGTCGGCCTAACTGTATCTCGAGAAGCTTGATGGATGCCTCATTATTCAAAGCTCGGTGCTCGCTGTTAGCCATAAACTGGAGAAACTTGTCCAGCTTGTCGTCATGATTAGATGCGCTCGGACCTAACCCCGGTGTTTGTATTCCATCCATTGGACCTTTTGTTGTTGTTGTTGTTGTTGCTATTGGTGTTGAGAATAATTTGACCTCATATGTTATTAGGGGATAAAGTTAGGTCGGGGTTGCTGTTGGATGAGGCTGCTAAACATTAGTGTTGTTGGACCAGGAGAAGTCTGGGTGGTTTCTCCACCTGGGGTTGTACGTGCTGGAGAAAGGGATCATTATCTGGCCGATTCTGGTATCCCTGTAAACTGTTAGCGTCCGCATATTGCTTGCCGAAGTCTTGCTCGAATGCAAAAGGTCATACCTCGGACCTATGCCCTTGAACTCCACACGCCAAGCATGCATTAATTACCAGGGTTTGCATTGGCTGGACTCCTCTTGCATTAAGTTGTCGCCTCTACTCCGTGAGCTCGGCTATTTGTTGGGTTATCATGTCTTGACCTGTTGATATTTCAATCACCATGGTCCGCTTCCCTTGAATGGTCTTTGAGACGAGTTAGTTTTCATCGTCTCAAATATCTTCATCATCTCATCCACAGTGCGTGCTCCAATGTCCCCGTCGGCTGCAATGTTCACCATATACGGAAGGTTTTGGTGGAGGGGGTCATAAAAGAAATTCACAAATAGCTCTAGTGAGAGGTTATGGTGCGAACACTGCCTTTGAATATCCTTGAAGCGCTCTCACGCTTCATGAAGTGGCTCGTTCAGCTGTTGGGCAAAGGAGACAAGTTGGATCACAACTATTGCGTCTTCTGATGGGAGTAGTACCTCCCAATGAATCTGGAGTACACTTGCTCCCATGTGATAAGAGAGTCAGGAGCAAAAGCCATAAACTATGACTTGACTCGGTCTTTGAGAGTCTCTGGGATGCACCGCATTTTCAGTTGGTCCTCATTCAGTCAATGAAGTTGGAACATCTGGAGGACATTGTAGAATTCTTAGATAAAATATAGCGGGTCCTCATTTGTGAGACCATGGAAAGCCAGAAGCTAGTTGTAATGGATTGTCTTCAGCTCGTAGTTAGGAGTGTCGGTCCTAACTGGATGCACGAGGTCATCGGTCCAATCACTGGTTGAGCTAAATCAGGAAGAAGATAGCGAAGGGGGTCATTCTCGCCTTGTTGCTCGTTTCGTGCCATGTTGACTTGGTTGTCTGATTCAGAAGATTCAGGAATAAGATTTTTCCGTGAATGGAATTGTCGCTCGGAATAATAAAGTGTCCGCTCCTGGTACGCATACACAAAAACAACAAAAAAGTCACGAGTACCAGATAAACAAAGAAAACTAGAAATGACTAAAAAAACACAAGAAAAACAAAAAACAACTAGACAAAATGCCAAACAAAGAGAAACAAGAAAACACAACAAACAAAGAGAAAAATGAAAAATAACATGAATAAGCGCACAAAATAAGTCCTAAACCTTCCCCTACAACGACGCCATTTTGTTATAGTTATTTTCACCGGAGTTAAATATAAAGATTCAATCCCCAGGTCGTATAGCATAGAATGCCGGATTATTTTGCACGATTATTCAAGTAAAAAAAAAGTCCTAAACACTCTAATTCAATTTGGTTTTGGTTTTTGATTGACAACTAAAGATTCCAAACAATGCAATTACTCACTTTTCAACTTTAAAGAGATTCATATAACAATGAAGAAGCTAGGGAGTCGGGCATAATCGTTCTTGATTCTAAATGTAAATATCACATAATCGATCATTCGGTTAAATGATTCATTTAACCTACATGTCTAGAGATTTAACCTCAACAACTTTTCTAACAAGAGGATAAACATGGACGACAAATCAATCAAACCACAAAACGCATTGACAATACAATTACGAACAAGTCTATTCTATACGAGCCTAGGTCGAACAACTTCTCCGCTCTCGGTTCTAAAAGTTGTTTAATTCGATTAGAAGGTCATCAAACTTCTAACCCTAGGTATAATACAACTCGCATAGACTGAACGAATCACAATAACATAATAGACACAAGAATCAGAAACGAGTCAAAATCCTGTCCAAATTTGAATTTTAAATATCGATGTCGCAGGCACGACGAATCTTGGTTGTCGGGTGATCACGGGCGTGCTGCTGGGCACTGGGCGCGACGTCTCGCGGTGTCGCGGGATGCGACGAGGAAATGATGGTTGCAGAAACTCGCAATGAGTTGTCTCGCGGGCGATGCTCCGCACTACCAGTCTCGACTCGATTCTCAGTGTCTCATCTCGGTTATCGATGTTTCGGCCTGTTTTTGGTTTTGCCCGAAATGGATAAAAGCTAAAATAAAATAGAAAAAACGAGAAACTGCGAGGTGGGCCGAAAACAACCTAAGAAAAGACCTAAAACGAGAAAAAAATAAAGACAAAACAAATACGAAAATGAAAACAAAAATAGGACAAACATTCATGGTCACTCTCGGCTCAACTCTTGCGTTCAAACATGTAAAAAATGAAAATTATAATATGAACAAGTTGTTAGCAAACGAATTCGGGTCGACACGTTTAATAAACAACCTTAATTAGATGTTCGAGCTCAACTCCATTAAGTAATGGAAAGACCCAAGCTCAAGCTTTCACGAGTTCATGAATACCAGCTCTACCCTGAACATTTCACCAACAGAATTAAAAGCCTTTGGTTCACAGTAACACTATCACACAAAATAAATTATGGCTAAGATCACAGCCCCAACATTATGCACCCTAATATACGAGGACACTGTATTAAGTATGATTTCTTTTGATATAAGCATCCGTTCGCATGAAAACGCCCATTTACATGGCCTCACCACTACCCGACTCGTGGACATGTACAACGATAAAAACAATGCAAAAAATTACAGTCGACTCTGAAGTGAAGAACAAGAAGCTGTATGCGTTCCCTCAACCAGAAGCATTTTTCACCACACACGACCCAGAAGCACAGGATAAGATACAAATGTACACCTCATTAAGACATGTAGTATTCAATCTTCATTAACTTAACATTTCCAATCTAAGCACAACATTTTTCACCACGATGTGCATCGCAAACCTCCTTCTGCTTCAGCATCTGGTTCTTTATGGGTGTCGAACCCTTTTCAAGTAAACTAGGTACCTCCAACATCTGCAATTCAGTTTAATACAGTTTAATAGGAAAATATTATTGGTTATTCACATAAAAGACCTATAAATGTGCTCTCGTAACAAAAAATAGTCCATTTAAAACTCAAAATCAATGATGACCACTTAAAAGCGCTTATAAGCAAAAGCACATCCTTATGTTGCTTTAGAGTCCCACAAGTGCATGAACAAGATTATAGAAAGATGCATTATTCTAAGAGTGGAATTCTTTAAAATACCACGAGTCTGGCCGATACATAGTATTATACCTTAACAGTAAGATTTTTAAAGCATTGCTTCACATTTTCTTGAGTCTTAGCACTGCACTCGAGAAATAAACACTTGTGTTCTTGCGCAAGCGCCATGCCTTCCTCTTTAGTAACGGCTCTCTCACTTTCCTTAAGATGGTAGCAATTCATATCGTTATTGGTAAAAATGCGTTATGATAAAAGCAAACAATACTAGCTTAAAAATGCAGAAAAACATGAAGAGGACAAAAGGCTAATGAACCAGATTAAATGCCTTCGATCTAATTCACATATGGTGAATTTAAACCTAGTTAGTAATTAATCTTTTTACCTTATCAATTTTGTTACCGATGAGTATTTTGACACAATCAGGATTTGTGCAGTAGCTGTCTAGTTCCTTTATCCACGTATTGGATAAATTAGTGAAGCTCTCTCTTCTCGTGACGTCATAAACTGGAACAGTTTGCATCACAATTAACACAAGTAATAAGAATCATAAGTTTGTAGCACATTGTTCGTGTAAGTTGGAATAAAGAATGGTCTACAAGTAAATGTCATACCAAGGATAATTCCATGCGCGCCTCTGTAATAGGAACTCGTTAATGTTCTGAACCTTTCCTGTCCAGCTGACTCATAAGGAAAGGAAGAACACAAAGATAAAACTTTAAGAGGATTAATTCTAGTATATTTGTGAATGTAAGGACATTGATTTGAATGTTTTTATTCGTAAACGAACTAAAACAAAATTAAACTACAAAGACGTTATTTTCTAAAAAATCCTATCATTTTTAACCCATCATTTTTTTTTTGACCATTTCCTGCCCTTAACTCTACTTTAGCGCGGACTTTATTCTACTCTACCGCGGACTTTACCTAGAATAGAGAGTAGAGAGTTAAACATTAGTTTCCAACCATTATCTCTACATTTTACACTACATCAAGTATATTATTTTTTATTCATTTTTTATTTACAAATTGGTATATATATTATATTTAATCTTAATAAATGTTTATTACCAAAATAATAAAAATATATTTTATTTATTTTTATTTCAAATGATTTGGTACATATAATACATCACTGAATAAAAGCTACATCTTACCCCACATTAAATATCTTATTTTTTACATATTTTTTATTTCAAAAAAACTCTAATATATATGTATATTTAATTTTATATAAAAAAAAAATCACGTGTTCAGTAGCTTTTTAAGTCATCCAAATTTTAATCATGTTGTGTTTGTTTATGTATTTCATGATTATGTATGTGTGGTAATTTTTTTTCATAAAATCTACTTGTTTTATTGTGGTAAATTTAATTCAAAATGTGGTAAATTTTAATTCAAATTATAATGTGACATTAAAAAATTGCATATTAAAATTATAATAGATCACTACATAAAAGTTATTTAACATAATAAATGCATTTACTAGTACACATTATATAAATATTTATATAAAATTATAGTAATTACCCTAGAAATTCACCAAAAATTACATAAAATTACAAAAAAAAAAAAAAAAAAAANNNNAAAAAAAAAAAAAAAAAAAAAAAAAAATTGTAGAGATATGCTACAGTGTTGCGCCAACTATTCACATATCTGATATAGCGTGAAAACCCAGGGTTGGAGGAGATTTTATCTCCACTCCAGCACAAATCACCACATCTGGCGATGCGCTAGAGTTGCTCTTAAACTCAAATTTAACTCAACTTTCACCCAAGCATACTATCCTCGATAATCTCCATATAATTAAATGATATTGATCAATCATTCTCACACGTTTCATCAACCTTAATTCACAATTCATCGCCTCAAATAATTTTAACTTAACCATCACTTTCTATCATCATTTTTCTACTTTTACATCAAGTCAACTTTAATTATTTTATTTCAAATAGTATTTTAAAATAAATTCAAAATCCTACTAACAACTAACCGTATCATTTTTTTTCAATTAATCATACCAAACCTAAAAATCCAAATAAAATCAAAAATTATTTATATCCAAGCAACCTCTCAAGATTTCCTCTTAAACAGGACAATCAATTACATCTACCTTTTAATTTAGGAATAAAGATAATCAATTATATCAACCTTTTTTTTTTTTAACTTTAGGAATAAATTAAAAGGGAGTTGAATTTACCAGTATCCCAAATTGTCAATTTAAGTCTCTTTCCAGCCATGGTTAACAGCTTTATCTTGAAGTCGACTCCTGATCAACATCATCAGATTAAAAATCAAAACCTCAATCCACCCGAAAATTATAACAGCCCACCAAATTATTGGGAGATTCTACATACGGTCCCGTTACAGAATTATCCTGTCAGGGTTTATAACTGTTAGATCAACTATCCACGTCTAACAGTTACAAATCCCGACAGAGTGGTCCCGATATAACATTTGCCCAAATTATTATTCAAGAAAATAACTTATTCACCAACAACTATGCGTTTTTGGCACATAAAATTCACACATTTAATCAAGGAAGAAAACATAAGACAATCAAATAAATAAAACACAAATTACTAAACAAACCCACAAAACAAA